GGCAGGGTCACCTGGGGCTCCTTGAGGCTCACGTCCACCTCGGCGGCCACGCTGCCCTTGGCCTCTCTGCTGCTGGACCAGCCAAAGGAAGGCATGCCGAACTTGGGCATCTTGAACTTGCCGTCCTTGCTCTTGCCGGCCTCCTTCTCTGGGGCTTTTGCTTCCCCTTCCAGGCTGAGGCCCGCCTCGGGCGCCTGCATGTCAACGCCGGCCTTGGGAAGGGTGACGTCCACGGAGGGCATGCTGATGTCCACCTTGGGAGCCTTGATATCAATTTTTGATAGTTGTTCGTCCTTTTTTGTTTCAGTTTTAGGTGTTGACATCAATATTTCTCCATTAATGTTTGGAAAATCATTTTCTACCTTGGGAGATTTTATTGTTATTTTTTTTGGACTTGGCTGGTTTACTTTTGTCTTTTCTTTGATATCATTTTCTTTTATTTTTCCTTTTGATATCTCAGTTTCAATTTCAAGACTTGGAACCTTCATTTCTCCTGTTGATCCACATATCTCTGCTTCTGGTCCTTCTTTTAGTGTTGCCATTTTTCCTTCCATTTCACTTATTTGTCCTTCAGTTTTCCCTGTTTCATCCTTGGTAGTTGACCAAGTAAATGTAGGAAATTTTAACTTTGGCAGTCGGAATTTGCTTTCTTTTCCCTCTATATCTTTTTCTCCTGTCTTCATTCCAATTTCTAACTTTACGATTTTGTCACCTGTGGGCATGCCATCTTCTTCTATCCATTCCTCTTTTACAGTATCTTCTGATTCACCTGTGCTTTCTTCTCTCGCTATTTTCATGTCCGTTTTAGGTGTTTTGGTCATTTTGAATGATGGTATTTGTATTTTCCAAGAAGATACTTCTGGTTCTGCATCAGATATGCGTGTTTTCACATCCAAATTCTTACCATCCTCTGAAGTTGAATCAGTTGTTTTTTCTGGTATTGAATGTGTAACATCACTTCCCTGTTTGGTGGTTTCAGTCTCTGTCTCTTTTCTTTTGGGCAGTGAAATCCCAAATTTTGTTTTCTGAATTGTTAATATCTTTGTGTCTTCTTCTTCTTGTTTTTCTCCTGCTTCCATTGTGTCAGATGTGTTTAATTCTGCTTTTGCGGTGCCTATTTCTAGGCCTTTTACCTGTACAGATCCTTTAGCTGTGTAACCCATCAAGTCTATGTTAATTTCACTTTCTCCTTCTTTTTTAACTGGTGTTCCTTTCTGTTTCTTTTTTCGGGATTTTGATGATGCCTGTGGTGTTTTTTCAGTTGGAGTTTCTTTCAGACCTGGTTTTTCTAAACTGGGCTTTGATATCTCTGTTGTTATGTCTGGTACTTCAGGTAAAGTAAATTTTGATGTTGATTCCTTGTCTTTTTCTTTTTTAATGCTTATTTCAACTTCAGGGCATTGTTTTACATGAGATGGGATGCCATTTTTCATATCTTTTAAGTCTTTTGTTAAAGTTTCATGTACCT